GTAGAATCCATACTTTACCAGTCAAATTTCATAAATGAAAAAGATGAATTTGGATCACATTTTTTAAAATTAAAACAAAAGCAAACATAAATTAAAAATTCTAAAATGTTTGTTGATCAGACCTGTTGCTAAATTCTTAAAATGTTTGTTGATCAGACCTGTTGCTAAATTCTTAAAATGTTTGTTGATCAGACCTGTTGCTAAATTCTTAAAATGTTTGTTGATCAGACCTGTTGTGAAGCAGCAGTTAGTTATCTTATAACTTTTAAAACAGTCAAACCCTTAATTTTAGAGAGAAAATATTTTACATGGAAAATATTTTGAATATTAAAAGAATATTATATAAAATCTTAAACCAATCAATGATTTTAAATTTGGTATAATATACTAAAATTAATTTAAAATTAATAATATTTTTTTATTACTTTCATATTTGGGGTAGGGGAAACAAATTTTTAAGTGATTTTTGTTCCTAGGCTTCCATCACCACTATTAGCAGCATGCCCTGCTGAAAAGCAGCTTATCCAGGAAAATAAAAATTTGTTATAAAATTGCCAATTCAATTTTGGGTAAAAGTTAAAGAGGCTTATTAACCTTAAATGGTAATCCTTCATTAACCTCTGATGGTAATCCTTCATTAAACTCAGATGGTAGTCCTTCATTATCCTTCAATGGTTTCTTTCTTGTGGTAATATCATAACAAAAATACTCTCTGATTCGAAAAAAAAAGAATAGGGCAGTTAATTCAGTTGTATAAAACGGCTTTGTATGTCACGGCTGCGAATATGATTGGTTGATTTTGAAAGTTTTATTTGTACAAACTAAAAAGAATTGCAACTATAATTTGTGCATTTAGCATTGTGGTATCCCAATTGTTTATTACTCACGGAGTTCCGAGATCGAGTCCTACATTCTGAAAAATGTTTTTTAACAATTTTTTTTATTGAAAGTTATTATTGTTGTATATTGAAAGTTACATTTATGTTTATTATTTACAAATTATTTACATTTATGTTTTTTATTTACATATCCCTATATCAACTGATATAGGGATAGGTGCAGTGAGTGTACATACATCGACTGATTTAGGGATAGGTGCAGTGAGTGTGCATATATCCACTGATTTAGGGATAGGCACAGTGAGTGTACATACATCAATTAAGGGTTTTGGTTTAAGCAAAATAAAAAAAAAAGCTTTAAATAAAATAAAATAAAAAATCAACCCATCAGAAATCACTAATATGACTTTAAGAAAAAAATTAAAGCGACAGTACTGTTGTGCGAGCAACAGCGTTAACTTTTCGTAATGTGATACTTGTATAAGAAAATATTATTATTCAATCTCGTTCTACACTTAAGCGCAGTGTAGTTTTTTAATTGCTCAACATCAAGCACTGTCGACTCTTTTATATTTACATTCTTTAAAGTGTAATCGTATGCGGAAGGCATTATGGGACTTCCTGGAAATATAGAAATAAGTTCACAAAAACACACTTGGCTGAAACTCTGCAAAGTTTTCTGTTTTATATTGCATTATTCTTTAATAATTATACTCTTCATTGTTCAGAAATACTGTGCTGCAACTAACTGCGCAAATACGAGTTGAATTGCTAACGAAAATTATCATGTTATTTTGATGATTAACTTACTACTCAAATATGAAAGTTGTATGTTGTAAGTTGTAAAGTTGTAAGTTGTAATGTTGTTGTAATGTTGTAAGTTGTAAAGTTTTTATTTCTAAAGGTGCAAGAAGAAATCTTGACGGAAATTCTAAACAATGATTATTATTTGTGCATCAATCATTTTTATTTATTTAACAAACAATCAATCATTTTGATTTTATTTAACAAACACATAGAGAAAATGCCTTCTCCATAAGGCCATTTCTACAGTATTTAAGTTCTAAATATAATCGCATGGCATCACATTCAGATGCTGTATAAGATAGAAAGATGTAAATGCAGTTCTATCTGTCATGCACCAAAATTTTTGGAGCATTTTTTGAATTAAATATTACTGTCAACTGTTATACTGATTTCTTATTGACCAACCAATTTGCGATAAAAATAATACTCTTTTTAATCTAATGAATTCAAAAAAGTATCATGCTGATAAACCTGCTCGATGTGATGTAACAACAATGGAAAATAACATGCTACTGTTGAGGGTATTTCAACTTCAGATTGAGAAATAAAGGTTTTGTGTTTTAAAAGCCCTACTTCATTAGAGAATAAATTTTACAATAACTACTATGCTGAAATTGTATCAGGAGCTTCTTTCAAATAGAAGCTTAGCTGTATTTTCATACCTCACTTCAAGAAAAATTATTTAGAAAGTTTGATTGGGACTATTAAGAGGAAAGAAGGTTGAAATGAAAGACTTTCTAACAATTTGGATTAGCTTACCTGAATATTTTGTTGTTGTTGTAATTAGAAACTAGCAGCTTTAAAAACAATTGTCTGAAAGTAATAAATTTTATTGTTGTTCTTCATATAAATGCTTTATTTAAACATTTACACTAAAAAAACTAATAAAACAAGATTGTTTATTTTTTGTTAACAAAAAAAAACAAAAAACAATTCAACAAGTTTACTGTTACAATTTTTATAAAGAAAACTATTGTACAAAGCATGCAGATTTTGCTAGCTTGTTAAAAAAGGTGTCTGGTTGTGTCAACAATGTGTGCTAATACTTTGTGGTGAAGCGATGCATGTTAGGTATGGTTTAGAGACCAATAAGAAAACAAACTATTAAAATTATTTATCAAAATCTTTATTTTTATGATTGATTTGCTATATTCTAATTAACATTATTCATGAAATTTATTGAAAAGTGGCTTCATGCTAACCTAGCTTTTAGATGTTATTTAAAATCTATACTTTTGACATTTTATTTAAAGATTGCTTTGAACATGCTTTTTACTTATATATGCATAATTGTCAGAGCGAGAATTTTTTTCTTTCTTGGCTGTACATGATCTATGTTAAGAAAATAAAAAAAAATTCAATAATGATAATTATTAAATAATGCCTTTATGTTTTTCTTTTAACAATCAATTTTGATTTTATGAGTTAATGTGTGTCTATATACCAGGGTTGGCATTAAAAAATCGGTCCAATAAAACCTAAAAAAACCTGCCTACAAAAACCCAAGTAAATCTGGGTTTTATTGGGTTTTTTAAAGATATTTAATAAGTTTATGAACTATTATAACCAACTTTAACATTATAACTATAATAATATTAACTAACATAATAATTAACTATTATTATCAACTAAATTATTAATAACTATTATTATTAACTATTATAACCAACAATAACAGCTATCAGAGCAGGTTGACTAATATTCGAATCATTACTTGGAAATACATTATAACAATTTTTATTCAAATATTTTTATCAATTGAGATTATTTAATCTTTTATGTTATTCACCTCCCTAGGTGAATTTAAATGAGTATTAGTGGCCAGAGAAGACCACTACAGTCGAGGAGGCAGCCTTATTGTGGTTACAATCCTCTCTCAACTCTTCAACTCCTAAACACAACAGACTTGTTTATAAAGATAAACAAGACCGTTGTGCGGAGAAACAAGTTTGTTTATTTAAATTTCAAGTTCAAAGTTTAATTGAAATTTCAGTTACTACCTACCATTGTATAGCCTTCTTTTTCCAATTTCTCATTGACATTTTTAAATACACATACATACATATGTGTGTGCATAAACTTGAATTGTTAAATGATAATTTGATATGTAATTATTACATAGCAAATTATTTTATCCAGTTTCATTTAAAGATTTTTAAATTGGTTTATTATTATGACCCAATAAGCTTTATTAAGACATGATATATTTAATATTACACTGTAATAATGCTGCTCTTTTGAAAAATGTTTTATGAAAAACCTATAATTCTAAATGGGAATTTTTTTAAAATAATTAAAATAAAATAATATAAAAAAAATAGATTATTTCTATAAATAGTTAACAAAATAAATTAAGAGCAATCAATTACTGACAGCATTTGGATTTTGAAAACAACATATTTTTTTTTTTTTTAAATGTTATACTACCAAGGCATCCCACAATCCTCTGTAAACAAACTACATGTTTTTACGTGAGTCCACAACACTTGCTCAATGTCTTGTACAAGCAACAATCTTGTACAAAATATTTCTTTAATTGCTCAGCATCTTGTACAAGATGTTGAGCAATTAAAAAAATAATCTAAAGCATATATTAATTAATAAATGTTATGGATGGATTTAAAAATTTTTGTTTGCCTTTTTCTAACCTATGATTTTTTTTTCTACCTTCTGTATAGAACACTGTTCTCATACTGTACTTTTTTTTTTGGAAAGGTCAAAAAGTAAAATATTAATGTAATTCAATTTGCCCAAGTTACCAAGTTTTAGCCTTTGATGCATCATTATAAGATGGATCAAAGGCTAAAGCTTGGCACCTTGGGCGAAATGAATTACATTAGCAAAGTTGTTCTTCTTTTCATAAACACAAGGCCTTTTTTAAAAAACTAAAAATGACTCAGAAGTTCCTAGATAAAAATCCAAGCATATAGAATGATCATATAGATGCATGCAAGCATATAGAATGATCCAAGCATATAGAATGATCATATATCATATAGAATGATATCAATCATCTAAGAGTATTAATCTTAATTATGAAAATCTTATTAAAGAATGATTATTGATTCAAGGACTGTCAAACCTCAAAAGAGGGAGTTGAAGTAATATCCTTTTTCCAAATATATATTACTTTTTTTAATTCACCTACCCAAGGACGAGGAGGCTACTTAATTGTATTCCCTCTCTCAACTCTATAACTCCGAAACACAAACCTTGACGAACAAGGCTGCTGCGCAGAGAAACAAGTTGTTCATTTTTCCTATAAAACAACTGTTCAATTTTCCTATATAACAATTTTTCAATTTTCTTATAAAATAAGCAATAATAATATACAAGAAATACAATATTTCTTACCCCATGCAAAGAGGTGAACTTTCCACAAACTAATAGCTTTTGAAAAGTTAAATATTTGTACAAAATCCCTGTAAAGCTTCAAGCACACAGCACTCTTCCAACAAAATGTAGACAATGTAAAAAATTGAATGATTAAAGCCACCACAATACATTGCCATTTGCTTTTACATTTGCGCTCAGCAAAAGTCAAAAATACTATGATAAGAACCAAGAGACTAGCACACAAGTTAAGTAGAAGTTGCTGAAAATACTGCTTTCTTAGATTTCTACAAAGCAAAAAGAATTATTAAGATTAAAAGTGAAATATTTAGGAAAAAAAAATAAAGTAATGAGAAAAAAATTAGGTTTGACGTAGTTCTCAACATATATTTGAAGCTTATTTTTATCAACTATTCATCGAAGTTCATGCTTTTAGACAAGTTTTTGTAAATTTTTTGTAAAAATCGTTTTGCAAAATTTTTCTTCATTAGGCTTATCAGATATTAGTGATATAGCATAAATTTATACAAATTTATAAATTACACAAATTATGCAATTTTAGCATTTACATAACAACATAACAGCATGCCTGACAAGTGGCGTTAGTGCAGACCTTGGGCTCCCCGAAACGCCATTGGTGATCACATTTATCCACTACAAATATAATTTGGTTATCATGGCACTAACATTTTTTTACCTCTTGTACCCATATATTTTAACGCTCTGGTAGCTTTTTATTATATATTTATTTTTATCATGATATTTTATTATTTTGCTGACACAGTAAGTTGTCAGTTTTCTATTTTTTACATATCAACACTATAGCATGGTGGTTAGCGCGTTGTGTCATAATCTGAAGATTCAGAATTTGAACTTAGTAGTTCGCGTAATTTTGTTTTTTCTTTTTTATATTGCCCGAACCATTTTTTATTACCATTTTTTTATTTATTTATTTTATTTTATCATTTTATTCCTTTGTTACGGCTTAGGGTTTAGTAGTTTATATCCCTTTGTTAGGGTTTAATAATTTATATCCCTTTGCTACGGCTTAGGGTTTATTAGAGAAATAGAGGCAATATATTGGGCTATAAAACAGTGTACTGAGTACTATCTATGTTTTGAGTCAAGTTCTTTAACAAATTTAAAAATGAATAAAGTAACAAAAACTATAAAAAACACAAAAAACCACAGTCATCACCAAGTTCGCTAAACCTATCATTCACCAATATTCGTGGTCTTCCAAGTAACTTTTCTTCTGTTGAGTCTTATCTCTTGCAAAGTTCACCAGACCTACTTGCTCTTTGTGAGACTAATTTGAGTTCAGCTGTTTCATCTTGTGATCTTAGTGTTGATGGTTATCTTCCTTTAATTCGCTAAGACTCCAATAGTCACATGCTTGGCCTGGGCATTTACATTTGTAAGAATTCACCCATTTGTCAGGAAACTAAGTTTGAATCAACAGACTACTCTTTTATGTGCTTTCGTTTAGCACCACTTCCCTCTATCACATTTCTCTTTATTTTATATCGCTCTCCTTCATCTCAAGACTGCACTCTTCTTGATGTTATTTCTGATTATATTGACCAAGCCCTCAATCTTTATCCATCAGCCAATATTGTTGTTGGCGGTGACTTTAATGTTCATCACTGAATGGCTTGGTCTAGTGTCAGTGACTCTGCAGGCATTAAGGCCCACAACTTTTGCCTTTCTCAATCCCTAACTCTAATAGCCAACTTTCCAACTCACTTTCCAGACAACCCAAATCATTTACCTTCTCTACTCAACTTATGTCTTGTTTCGTATCCTAGTCAGTGCTCAGTTTCGCCACACTCACCCTTAGGTGCTTCTGATCATGGTTCGGTCTCTCTAAAACTATTATCTCATTCTTTTTTACCATCAGAATCCCCCTATCATCGTACATCTTACAACTACCTTGAAGCTGACTGGGACTCTTTCAGTGATTTTTTTTGTGATGGCTCCTGGGTAGAAATCTTTCGTCTTCCTGATGACAAATGTACTTCTTACATAACTTCGTGGATTCAGGCTGGCATGGAACCCTTTATTCCCTCTCAACAATTCCAGGTCAAGCCTCAATCTTCTCCATGGTTTTCCTCACATTGTGCTGCTGCAATTGTCAATCGATACCATTACTTCCATATCTATCAGCAAAACCTTTCTCCAGAAAACAGACGTCTGTTTATTACTGCTAGGAACCATTGTAAAAAGGCTTTGTCTAATGCCAAAGCCCGCTATTCTCAGATCATGAAATCTCTATTTTATCACAAAAGTTAGGCTCTCGTGACATCTGGAGAATCTTTAATAGTATCAATAATAAGGGCAAGTCTGTAATTCCACCTCTTTTGTATGGTTCAGACTTTGTCACCTCACCTAAAGACAAAGCTGAATTGTTTGCCAAGAACTTTTCATCAATATCATCTGATATAGCCGTCAAACAGGTTGATCCATTGCTCGACAATTCTGGAGAGCGATCCAATTCGTCTAACTACTGTCCCATTAGTCTTCTTCCTATCATAAGCAAGGCTTTTGAATCTTTAATTAACAAACACTTAATCTCTTATCTCGAATCTCATAACCTACTTTCTGATCATCAATATGGATTTCGATCTTTTCATTCTACAACATGCTATCAGTAATAACCGATAGGTTTTATCGCGCATTAGATAAAGGTGGAGAGGATAAGATCATCGCTCTTGACATTTCTAAAGCGTTTGATAAAGTTTAGCATGCTGGTCTTCTCTATAAGCTTTCTTCTTACGGTGTATCAGGAAACATCTTAAAGATTATTGAATCCTTCCTTTCCAATCATAGTATAAAAGTTGTCCTTGATGGACAGCACTCTTCTTCTTATTCTGTAACCTCAGGGGTTCCCCAAGGTTCAATCCTTGGCCCTATACTCTTTTTAATTTACATTAACGATCTTCCAGATATTATCACATCTAAGGTGGTATTGCTGATGATACTACCATTTATTCTTGTCACGAAAGAAGCCAACTCCCTCTGATTGCTTGCAAGGGGCATCTGAGCTTCAAAAGGATCTAACTTCTGCTACATCATGGGGCTCACAGTGGCTGGTGAACTTTAATTCAGATAAAACTCAGCCAATCATTATCACAATAATTTAGACCTTCCTATATCTATGAACGGTAATGTACTCGATGAATCTCCAACCCTTCATCTTCTTGGATTAACTCTTACTTCTGATCTTTCTTGGAAACCTTATATCAAATCCGTTGCAAAATTAACATCTGCTAAAGTTGCTTCTCTTTATCGAGTTCGTCACTTTCTTACTCTGGATTCTATTCTCTATCTCTATAAATCTCAAATCCAGCCTTGTATGCAATACTGTTGCCATATCTGGTGCGGATCTTCTAATGATACCCTTTCTCTTTTAGACAAGGTGCAAAAACGCATTGTAAACATAGTAGGACCTACTCTTGCAGCCAACCTTCAACCTCTGTCACATCGTCGTAATGTTGCTTCTCTTTCTCTTTTCTACAAATACTATAATGGGCACTGCTCTAAAGAGCTAGCATCTCTTGTGCCATCTACTAAAATTCATTCTCGTGTTACTCTTCATTCAATTAAGTCTCATCCTTTTTCTGTTACTGTTCCTAAGTGCTCCAAAAACTCTTATTCGTTTAGTCTTTTTCCTCAAACATCAGTTCTTTGGAATTCGCTTCCTTCATCTTACTTTCCTGATTCATATAATTTGCAATCTTTTAAGTCACCTGTCAATCGTTATCTCGTTCTACAATCTTTATTTTTTTACTTCCAGTAACTTCCAACACTAATTAGTGGTTGCTTGCAGCCTTGTTGGAAAAGAAGATGTTTAAAAAAAAAAAATTAATATTGTCTGATATTTTTAGTCATGACAGCCATTTATACACTAGCAGACACATTCTTGTTTACTCATAGACCAATGTTTTATCATTTGCTTAGGATGACTAGAGAGTGATTTATTGATCACCCTTTCCCTGAGTCCTAAAGTTTTATTCCTTCTACAAAATAGTCTGTACACATTCATTCATAATTCTTACCCAATAACATCATCTACAATATACTTTTATTTTCACCTCTCCCAGGTCTATGTAACTGAAAGGCTCTGATAGTCACCTTTTGCAATTATTGTGTTGCATAAACAAAAAGATTTAAGTATGTTATAAGTTTTGTTGATGATTACTCAAGTTGTTTGTTTACATATTTTCTACAACAAAAAAGTGATGCTGCGAAAGCTGCTGAGATATTTCTAGCAGATATAGCCCCATATGGGAAGTTTAAAACATTTACTTTTTATTATGATATTTTCCCATTTGGTAATGCGCAATGTATTGCAGTGATAATGGAGGTGAATATTTATCAAAAGAATTCAAAGAAATACTTCTAAAACAATTTCTCTGAAATCAGCTGCAATATATCAGCTATACTCTTTGAGTAATTAACTAAAATATTGGTTTCTTTTAATGTATTTGCTACTGGTAGGGTTGTATAAGTTAATTTTCAGGCTGCTTAAGAGCCAACAATAAAATAATCTTTACACAATTTTACCAAAAACATCTAGAAAAATGTTTAAGAAAATCGTAAATTTCTTTTCTGTTTGAATTTGATTATGTTGACAAAAAATTTGACAACATTAATATGTTAAGTAATGCTAAAATTATTATTAAATAGTAATAATAACAAATAATAATAATAATAAATGATACTAATAACAGCAACAACAACAATAATAATAATGACATCAATAATAACAATATATTTGAAAACAAAAATAAAAAAATGCTTTTATTATCAAACAAAACTAAAACATTCAACCCTAACCCTAACCCTGTACACTTTTACTTCATTTTTATAATTACGTATAAAAATAATTTCACTTTTTTTTATTTCTAATTACTTTAACTCTGTGTAACTAAACAATTAATTACATTAATTACATTAACTGATTACTCAAATACAATGTTTACAAGTTGAAACCTATATTTTCACATCTTAATATTTTTTTATAATTGAAAATTAAAAAAAAAAGATTTTACTTTTTAAAAAAACTTTTTAACACTATTTATTGAAAGATTTTTATAATTTTCTTATTTATTTAATTATAATATGGAAAAACTGAAGTTTTTTTTAAAGTATTTTTTATTGAAACACTACCACTAAGAATTCAGGGGGTTTGCATATATCATATAGGTATTAATCAGCCTAAATTTGATTCAATTGTAAACATTATATTAATTTATATTGATGACAGAATCTTATTACATTGATGACACAATCTTATGATAAGAATGAAAAATGTTTTCATATTCATATTAAGCTAATTAACTCAAAATTCAAAATTGCAAAAAAACCTAATAATTTCTTCAATATCCGACATTTTTTTCTAAACCAAAACCATTGTAAATATTTTAAAAATTTTCTAAGATCAAAATTGTTTATGTTTGTTTTTTCTAATATTTTAAAAAAAAAAAAGTAACTAAAATAATTAATGTAAAATAATGTAAATAATATAAATAATGAAATACAGAAATATATTTATAATTTTGTTATTATTATTATTATTATTCAATTTACCTCTCCAAGGCTCTAGAGGACACTCATTTTGTTTGTTTTGAAACTCAATATTCTTTTGAAATTTTAACATTAAACTACATAACATAAACCTTGTTAAAATATTTCGCTGAATTAAGAAACAGGTTAAGTGAGGTTCTTTCAGAGGCAACTAAAGTGGTTAAACCACTTTGTGTTGCCTCTGAAAGAACCTCACTTAACCTGTTTCTTAATTCAGCGAAATATTTTAACAAGGTTTATGTTATGTAGTTTAATGTTAAAATTTCAAAAGAATATTGAGTTTCAAAACAAACAAAATGAGTGTCCTCTAGAGCCTTGGAGAGGTAAATTGAATAATAATAATAATAACAAAATTATAAATATATTTCTGTATTTCATTATTTATATTATTTACATTATTTTACATTAATTATATATATATATATATATATATATATATATATTTGCTCATCTAAATCGATATAGGTTACTATTGGTTAAAAACAGGGAAATTAAGTTAAACAGTAAGAGCCTAAAAAATGATCTAAACGTAAATAAATATATAAAAAAAACAGTAAAATAGATATATTGCTGTATGACTAACGCAAAGATGACATATTAAAAATAAACAGTAATATATAAAAACATCAAATAACTAAAATATTCAAAAAATGGTCTAAACTTCGTATGTACACATTATACATACTTTAATCGATGCTCTATTGAAATATGTAGGTGTGGGTATCAATAGAAATATTTCTACTAAATAGGGGTCAACTTTAATAATATGCCAATGCTTCACTACAATGTTATTGATATCTCTACCAGCATCACAATAAGGAGTCAATATTGGTAATATATCTTGATCTATATTCGTGGGGGGTTTATTAATTAGTTAATTTTGATTAAATTGTATTTAATTTTTGTAATTAAAAGGCTTTAGTAAATTGCAAGTTGATATCTTCCACTGAATAACCTCTTAACAAAAGGATTTATGCTAAGACTAGAAGTTCTTTGGAAAGATTTTCCTGTTCTGATATAATTCTATTAAAGGGTAACGCTTGGCTGTAAATAATGCTTTTCTTTAGAAGGTATGGATGACTAGATTTGTGATGTAGAAGGCTCATTGTATCTTTTGGCTTTCTATATAAAGTTTTTTAATATAAATCCATATCTGTCTTTGTATAGTGACATGTGCAAAAAATTAATTGAAGTATCAGATTTGTTAAAAATATATGTAATTCTTCCATAGATATAAAACATAAAAACAAGAAAAAAATGTCATCAATGTAACGTTTATAAAACGCAATTGAATTTGGAAACTGGGTTCAAATTTTATCATCTAATTACCTATAAACAAGTTAGCATATGGCAGTGCCATTCTTGTACCCATTGATGTACCATCAATGGGTACAAGAATTTATTTACTTCTGTTTAAATTTTTTTTTTTTTATTAATCTTTTTTTGAAACTTATTTTTTTATAGTCATAAACGGAAGGAGAGGGGGTGCATTAACAACTAACCCTTTTTTCTTTTTTCAAAACAAAGCAATAAAAATAATTTTAATTTGACGCCTTTCATATAGAAAATAAGAATACTAACCACTGCATCATAATTTGTCAAAAATACCATTACATTAAAAATTTCCATTTAGCATTACGGTTTTCAGGTTTTTAAAAATCTTTAGACAACCTAATATTATCAAATATTAATTAAAAAACTTGAATATTATAATATTACTTACTTGATTATTATAATAGTTGCTATAGTAAAAATTAATGCTGCCAAAGACAAGGTAGTACCAACCCATGTTAAAACTTGTAAATAAAAAGGGTTATTTTTTGTTTGTGTAACATCTAAGATAAGCGCAAAATTTGTTAAGTGGTAACAGTGGCACTTAACTGCTTCACAAGATTCTTCAATTTTAACACAACCTTCAGTTGACCAGCCTTAAATTTAACAAAAATAATACAAGTTTTAAAAAGTTCTTTCATTGTAAGAAATCCTGTTTCATGTTCAAAGCTTTATGTTTAAAACTACATGTCTAAAAATTTAAAATTAATAATAATCATTCATGTATTTACTACAGGGACATTTGTAAACAACTTTTTGTTAATGCTTTTTTTACCATCATTATAATTTTTATTATTCATATATATATATATATATATATATATATATATATATATATATATATATATATATATATATATATATATATATATATATATATATATATATATATATATATATATATATATATATATATATATATATATATATATTAGGGTGGGTCATAAAATTTTTTTTTCTTGTTACAGGCTCTAAACATTGCTAGAAAGTTGTTTTTTTTTATGTACTAATTTAGGAAAGTATTTACTTTAACGGATTGAACAATGTCTTCCACCCGCAACTATAATTACAAAAATTAGCAGCCCCTATTATTATTCAAAAAAAAAGTTTTTCAAAAATATGTAATGTAGGTACTCAAATAAAGCGAAATTTTATAAAAATTTCAAAAATAATAATTTTTTCATATAAAAATTTTTATTTTAGATTTTATTGCATAATAACTATAGTTTTTTAACTAAAAGTGAAAAAGGTGCATTTTTACATCTTTTTTAATAATTTTTTTTTTGGCAACATGATTTTTATAAAACAATTTTTATTTTTAAATTTTTTATAAAATTTCGCTTCTTTTGAGTACCAGGTTGACCTACTTTTGAAAAACTTTTCTTCTCCAAAATATTTGGGTACCGGTAATTTTCCCAATAAAGTTGCGCCCTTTAAATCTATCACAATCATTCTCATATTTGATAGTATCAATATTAATAACTATTAGCAATGTTTAGAGCCTGTAACAAAAAAAAAAATTTTTTTGAGCCACCCTAATATATATATATATATATATATATATATATATATATATATATATATATATATATATATATATATATATATATATATATGTATGTATACACAGAAAAATGCTATACCTAAAATGGAAAATTTACTATCATGGACTCTGAGTTATCAATATTAAATTTCAAAATCACCATGAGCAGCAAAAATTTGTTGACACATTTTAAAGACATAAAAAACAAATACAAAAAATAAAACTATTAGTTTTTAAAAAACACTATTTATCAGTACATTTAGTTTTTAACTAATAATTTTTTTTTCCCACTTTAATAACGAGTAAAATCTGTTTTTACTTTTATTAATAGTTGTGAGTAAATTGCAAAAAATAAATTATCAACTAGCATGAAGTATCTTTTAAAGGATTGGTTTGGTCACAAGACTGTAAAATGTGTTGCCTATGTAAAAAAATAAGTACTACAAAAAATAGTTAATTGATTAAAAAAAAAAAAAAAAAATTTTGTGACAACTTTAAGGAAAAGGTTTATCTGTTGTTAGAGAGCTGGTTTACTTTCATGAGTTATTGCTAAGCATAAATTCCAATTTTAAAAAAAAATTAGTTGCAAATAAGTTTCTTATAAAAAAAATGTAAGAATTAAAAAAGTGTTAAAAAAGTTAACTATTAATAATGTAATTTAAGATGTTATTAATGTCTTTTGTTGGACTTTGGCCAACAAAAGACTTTAAAAACATTTAAAACCAACAAAACAAAGATATTGAAAACTGATAGCTTCATTTACCAAGATTAAAGTATTTAAAATAAAATTATAATTGTAACTTTTTTAACTTAATATGTTATGTATGTATTATTCTGTATGTGTTTTACATGCAGACAAATATTGGCATCACATAAAGGCATTGTTTTTCAAAATCAACAGTTTTAACTGTCACGAAATGTTGAAATGAAATAAGAACAAAACACAAAAAACTGAAATATTAAGAACTTATTGATAAAATATTTGATTCAGTAGATTCTGTTCCTGGCGTTGACCTATTTAGCAGATCATGACTACGTATAAGGATCATCTAGTATCAAGATTACGAGATTACGAGATTACAAATTGCAATACTAGCACTAGTTTAAAAAAGGAAAATCTGAAGAAAAAAAAATTAAGAGAAAAAAAAATACATAAAATGAAATTTAATGGACGATGTAGAAACCAAGGCATGAACAAAAAAATTTGCTGACAATTAGTGACAATCAAAAATATGGCGTTGACTAATGATCACAATGCAACATCAATCAGGAAAAAGTATATATAATTAATTTAAAAATGTATATATACTTTTAAAACATAACATACCTTTAGTAGAATTCCAATACTTACATGTCGCGGAACTATCTACAGAATCTTTATCAACTTTTTCAAATGTTATTATAATTGGTTTTGATAACTGTTGAACTGTTGTGTTTGATAATGTTACAGATATGATTTTACCAATCACTGCTTGTTTTGAAAGTTCATTAGATAACTCAGTGTTATTTACCATGAATAATGCGGCTGTTCGGTATGCCAAAACAAAAACAACATTTTTTTTATTAATAAATGCAATATCTGGTATTTGAACAGATGCAAAATGATCTTTTTCTATAAGTGAACTTTTGTTTCCCTGTTTCATAATGACTTTTATGCTCTGATTTTTACCTTCAACTGCATAAATAAACAAATTGTCCTTTTCAACACTCGTTACTTTCAACATAATCTGATCTTTTGATACTTCCAAAGAACTGTTTCTCATGAATGGTTTGCTACTGATAACTTGCCCCATCTGCTCTAAAACATTGATAAAGCCTGAGGAGGCTTCTGAATTTCTTTCTGCTTCTTTAAAATTGTTTAAGTTACGAATAATCATGCTGACTGAACTCATTGTGTCATCAACAACCTGGTAAAAAATTAATATATTAACAAATATTTAAAAATTGTGATAGTGTTGCTCATTGCAAAAATATTCATTTAAAAAATAATTGTAATGCCACCAAAATAAATAAAATGAAATATGAAACACAAAAAATATAATATATTAAATAAAATGTAATAAATATAATGAATCAAAAAAGTATTATGATTAATGATAGTTAACAGTATCTACATTTACACTTAGTACAATATATATGGACATTTTATACACAACAAATTTCACAGTGAAATTTTTAATGTGGTTTGAGAAATTTTTAATGTGCTAGTAGAAGTTAAATTGTCTGTTAGTAATAAATTGTGATAATTTTTTTTTTATTTTAGGCTCAAATCCTATTTTAAGAAGAAAGCCAAACATTTTGTAGCTTAATTTTTTTAAAAAAAGAATATACTTAATTATGAATAATAAACTGTGTGCACTTTTGAAGGTTTTACTGCAGCCATTTTTCAAAACACCTTTAGGTAGAATTCAAATTTTACTTTTTTTACAAAATAAGATAATTTAGATGTCAATAACAAACGTTATTGAATAATTATTTTCAAAGAACTATGAAAAAATTCATAAAATTTGTTAGTTTCAAAAAATGATTCACAAAGAGTTTCTGCTAATAACTTATTTTTTAATTGCGTTTCTTTCAAAATACAAATTTAGCATAAGATGTTTTAAAAAATAGCTGCAGATTAATTGGTAAAGGTATTGTAGTTAAATTTTTTATTGCCAGTAAAGAACTTTGTTTAATCTTTGCTATATGTGATCTCAAAACAGACTATTCCAAAATCTTTAGAACACTAATATATTTGACAGATGGAAATCTGAGATTAAACTCCTAATAACAAAAATAGCTGACAAAACAATCTTTTTGGATGGATACTCTGCAGATGCTTATCCCAGATGTTAACAAACATTTGTTGACAAGTTGTAACTCAAAAGCTTTGTTTTAAAAAAAAATTTTAATCACTTGGAGATTTCTCTACATCACCTAACAGTATACATAAACCTGAATTACTTAAAAGAAATCTGATAATACAATGTAAACAAGAAACATTTGAAATTTTAAATTTTTTTGCTTTTGTATGTTTAAAAAAGTTATAAGCAATATTAGTGTAATTTTGTTCTTAACTTGCTACCCATTTGCTGTACATTGCAAAGTACTGTATATTGTAAAGTGCAAATTCTAAAATGTGATGTTGATGTTTTAGAAAAAGAAACGGGCAAGCAAGACGAAGACCGGGTGTTTTAATACTGCAGTTTAACATTATCAGCATAATCTAAAAAAGTTTCATTTACCCTTATTTATCTGGTAATAATTCGAACTAAGTTGAACATTTTAAAATAGACTGAGAAATAGATAGGATTTATTTTGTACAATGAAGGCAAAATTCCTAAGAAAATATTTTTGTAAACACTGGAATCTTTAATTTTAACTTTTTTAACTTTTAAAATCTGATTTCAAGACAATTGACAGAGCAACTTTTGGGTATCCCTCCATCCATCTTTGTGCCCTGATTCATTTTCTTCAGAATTCTATAGAACTTTTCCTTTTGCTGAAAGAGATATTGATCTTACAATAATTTTTATTTTTTTTTTGTTTTTCTAAATTTGAATCAAGATTGACATGTTTTGCCGGTTTATTTTAATCATCTTTGTGCCTTAATACTTTTGCTTACTTGCTTAATACTCGCTTATTTGTGTCTTCATTGTTTTCTGACTAAGATTTAATTATATAAGTATTTTTCAAACTTAGATTAAAATAATTGTGAATCTAGTGAGTTTATTTTAAACAATTTATTGGCCATAAATCTAGTGAGTTTATTTTAAACAATTTATTGGTCATAAATCTTTGCTTTTCTTGAACTAGCAAATGCTAAACCATTTAACATTATCAATATGTTCTTTTGTTTTTCATACTTTTTTTAATTTTAAAATTTTCATAAATCTGTACCAAATTGTACCAAACAACTGAAAATTAAAGTAGTAAAAAAAAATTAAAAGTAGTAAAAAATTAAAAGTAGTAAAAAATAAATTAAAAAAATAAATAAACCTGAGTAGAAATTAAATTGAAAAAAGAAAAAAAGAAATTATTTTTTTAAAGTCATTATAAATTATAAAAATTTATATTAAAAAACAATATATTTAAAGGGTATACAGTGTATTTTAAATATGTAATATAATATATTATATATTTGAAATACAGTGTATACCTTTTACTATAATCTACTATATATTATATAGTAGTCAAGCCTTCAGGGTTTGGGTTATATTATAGTAGTTAGGGTATATAACTCTTATTAACCCTAGGGTTTGGGTTATATTATAGTAGTTAGGGCTATATTATAACCCTGACTACTATATATTGTATAGTAGTTTTATATAATATAATAGTTTTATATAATATATAATTTATTTTATAAGTTTTTTATAAAAAAAGTTATAATATATATTATATATTTACTTTTTTATAAAAATAGTAACTAAAAAAAAGTTGACATTATATTATTAAAATATTTTATCATGATTATACTTCAATTAAAAAAAATTAAAAAAAAAGAACTTAATTTGAAAAAATATATTAAAAAAATATATTTAAAAAAAAAAAAAATTAAAAAAAAGAAACTTACATCATACAATTGATTTTTCGAAAGTAATTTAATCCCCTCTACAATTGTTGACATGACATTTTTAAAATTAGTCAAAACTTTAGAAGAAACAATTAAAGAGTGATTTGATAATAATGATGACATATTGTATGCTAAATCTTTTACACAAAGTGAATCATTGCAACTTCGTATCTGGATAAAATTTTTAAAAAGACGAAAAAACAAATTTCAATAATAATAAAAAATTATTCTCAATTTTTATATAAAATTAATATATATAAGAATTTGTGTTAAATCTAAACCAACATTACCATACCAACTCTAGTCATTAAAGGTATACCTTATTCATATTAAACAACTCAATGACAGGTTCAGTTTTATTTTCTTTTTTCAATGTTGCAATTGAATTAGTTGTTGATAATTTCAAAGATTTTGGTTGAGTTGTTACATTTCTTGAAGTTGACGTTACAGCAGTTGCATTTATATTCCTTATGATTAATGTGGAGGTTACAGTTGATGTTGCAGTTAAATTCCTTATGGTTGATGTGGATGTTACAGTAAGGAAATTTTCATTTAAAATTTTTTTAACAACATCACTATACTTTGTATTATTAACTAATGTGCCCTCATTATAACCAGCATCATATAAAACTATTCCACCAAAATTTTCATGGAAACTAACTTTCTAAAAAAAAATAATTATAACATAATTGAATGTAAAAATAGGGTTGATCTCTTTTTTACATTCATATTTCATAAGTTACATAGTGTTTTTAACCAGTGACACTGTTTAAAAACACTATGTAACAAAAAAAGAAAAAAGTTTTTAACTATTAATGGTTTAAAAGTTGTGATGTTTTGAAATTCAGCCTAAAATCTCTTCTTTTTAATTTTTTCATTATAGGTTTTGTAGTGATACCTTTTGATGAAAAAAAAAAATTCTAATAAAAGAAACTGGCTGAAGTTGGTGAAATCATTATGTCCGTTTTTGTCAAATTTTATTCAAATTATGTAAAAAGGAAAACCTAATTAATAATTATTTATGACCATTCTTTGATTTTAAAATATGCAAGTAAAATTACTTTTTTTTTAAATTTATTTATACTTGCATTCTTTATTATAAATTTTGTTGCTATAGGGCAGGATTGAAAAGTTTTTTTTTCAAAAGGAATGACCTTAATAACTTAACTTTATAACTTTTAATAGAACTTAAATCAATCATTAAAATAGCACAGAGATTGAAAAGTATTTTTTTTTTCAAAAAGAATGACCTTTGTAAACTAAATTGGAAATTTAAAAATAACTAAAAACATTTGGAAGGGGCAAATAATACCTAACATGCTACCACTATACTGTTTGCTACAGCAGACAGTATAGGGGTTTAGCAGAGACAGTCTGCCACAGCAGACAGTATAGAGGTTCAGCAGTTTATTTTTTTAAATTAATCTGTAAGATTATGAAAAATAAAAATACTAGTTGTTAAAACTTTCAAAAAATTTTTTGTATGTCAATTTATCTATTTTTCAAGAACAGATAAAAATTTAAAAAATTTTTATATTTGAAAAATATAAAAAATTTTTAAATTTTTATATTTTTAAAAACAAGCTAAAATAAAATAAACTGTTATTTACAACTTATTAATGTATTAATAAATTACAATTTGTTAACATACAAACTTAAATATTTATCAACATAAATAAACTTAAATACTCTTTTATTATAAAAAGTAAATAGTCAAAAATTTCTTGTCAAATTAACAAACATATATGGCTTCACAAAAAAAACATAGTTTGTTCCCTATTTCAAATAATGCTATTTAATTGCAACGAAAGTGAAGATGAAAGTAAAAATGTAAAAAATTAGATTAACATCATTTATCAAATTCTATTGGTTATTTAGGTTCATATGTTTAATGAAACATCATTTTGATTGATACGAATGTCATAGTTTAAAAAATGTAAATGTTATTTATGTTAAAAAATTATTGAAATAAGGTAATTATTTTTGTCTCAGTACTTTATTCAAGTGGCAACTTATTAAAATACTACAGCAAAAATCTTGGCATATGCCGTGTGCTAATTTCATGCACCCCAATTTTGTGTGGTTAAACACATAAGAAAAGATGCTAATTTTTTATTAATAGATAAAAAAATAATATCATAAATATTCATTATTTTCTTCTTTATTTATAATTAGATTTCTTCTTTATGTAACAGATGAAAATTGAATTGAACTTCTTCCTCCAATAGTGACTCTTTATCTGTCTTGTGAAACAAAAGTTTAATTCACTGAAAAGTCTTATGTACTCAAACTAGTAACCAGTACTCAGGACAGTTATATCATTAAGAGTATACATAAAAGATGGTTTAGATTCAAACTTTGTAATAATTGAACGAGAATTAAATGAATGGTTTTTATCAAGATTTTCACACAGAAGCAGTACAAATTTTGTTTCTAAATACTGTCGTCAACTGTTTCAAATCAACAACATTTTTGACATATTGCTCTTTTAGATTTTTATTTTGTTTCAGAAAAAATTGGAAAATTTAAACTTTGCTATAAATGAATTTTAAGCATGCTAGGACAACTTTTGCTTGAGGACAACTACATAAGAAAACATCCAGGGCATGCAATCCTATGCGAGTTTTATTACAAAAATGCTGATGTAGCTTGATTTTTATTTCTTTTTTTTTTTAGATGTTGTCCTGAATAGTTTAGTTAGAGTTGTTACAAAGAATTGTAGAGTAGTCTTTTATTAAACAGAAAAAAAAACATGGTCAAATTTACTTAAACTTGTTACTTATATAACAGGAATTATGAAAAATTAAAGTAAAAAAAAAGTTGTATTAAGTGTTTAATACAAAGAAATTGATGTTTAACAAATTTTGGGAAAATTTTTTCACCCACCAAACCCAAGCTTATTAAGACCCTCCTTGTGTTTATTTAATTTTACAAAGAAACTGTCTTGAAAGAAATCTCAAATCTAAAAAAAAAAATTCATTTATTATTTTGTCATTTTTGAAACCTCTTAGGCTTTTAAAATTAGAAAAAAACTTCTCACTCGCTTGTTTTTCACTTGTTTACCATCATTTTCTGCATTTCATTATTTTATCACTTTCTATATTATAAGTGCCACAACATGTTTTATATAATAGACCATTTATAATTTTATTTAATTTGGTATTTAATAGTTTATAAAATTGAGCCAAAAAGTTAATTCATAGTTAGAATGTAATAATCACTAGACCATAACAGGTATAAACAATCTACTTTTGTTTTTTACCTGAAAATAGTTTAAAGAAAATAGTTCTAACAGCAATAGACAAGGGACTTCCAAGATACTGCAATAGTTGTAAGTGTTATTGCTAATTCAGGAGGTGATGCTTCTAATTTTGTCTTTTTTAATTCGATTTAGAGTTGTGGAGGAAGTTGTAAATAAAGGAAAAGAAATGATTATAAAACATATTGATCACTTGCACTTAAAATTCAAACATGTCACTTGCACTCAAAATTTAAACTTGTCACTTGCACTCAAAAAACTCATGTCAAAAAAATTTAAACTAGTCACTTGCACTCAAAATTCAAACATGTCACTTGTACTCAAAATTCAAACATGTCACTTGCACTCAAAATTCAAACATGTCACTTGTACTCAAAATTCAAACTTGTCACTTGCACTCAAAATTCAAACTTGTCACTTGCACTCAAAATTCAAACTTGTCACTTGCACTCAAAATTTAAACTTGTCACTTGCACTCAAAATTTAAACTTGTCACTTGCACTCAAAATTTAAACTTGTCACTTGCACTCAAAATTTAAACTTGTCACTTGCACTCAAAATTTAAACTTGTCACTTGCACTCAAAATTTAAACTTGTCACTTGCACTATTTTTCAGTTTCTTTGTTTCTTTTTTTTGAATTGCAAAAAGAAAAAAATTCAGAAGATTTAATGATTTAAAAGTTATTTAATTTTTCAGAGTATTTAATTATATACATAGTATTTAATTCTTCAGAGGTTATAGCTAACACTTAAATTAAAAATAAGACAAAAAAAATGTGTGCAAAGAATCTCATTATAATTCTTAACATTTTCAAAATTTTAAGAAATATAGACTGGTTCATTTTTTCTTTAGTATGAAAACTTTGAACTCAATTTTCATTTTTTTTAAATCAATTTTTAGCTTATTTCTTGCTAAAACAATAAACAACTTTTAATTCATGAAATTAGACAAAACTAGGTAATATAAAAATATAAATATAATCATCAAAAACTTGCATTTAGGTTTTTTTATTTTCTATACCATTTTGGATTCAGTACCTTCGAAATAACCAAGTATCAATTTATAGCCAGTTTCTTCCACTTGAAAAAACATTCTGTTTGATTTTAATTATTTATGAAATGAAATGAAATTATTTATAAAGTAAACAACTACCACTACAAAATCTGCATTGGTGTATGCAGCCAAAGAAAAAAAGTTTTTGTCTGAATTTAAAAACATTTTAACTTTAACATTAAATAAAAAACTTTTTAAAAAAACAACAACCAAATATTAAATTGAAATATTAGTATTAAGTTCTCCATATATTTTTTATTAAACAAATTTAACAAATATGCAAGCCCGCTGCAATCCCAAGTACTATATTTGCAAGCGTATTTGAATTGAGAGTTTATACTTACTAGATTTACTAAATTCACTAAATTTACTACAAAATAAAGCAAAAGAAATAATATATGATTATAAAAGTGATAATCTATAATTATAAGAGAGATAACCAATGATTGTAAGAGAATTAATCTATGAATAATAAGCTTAGATTAATAAATTAAGAGAAAAAAAAAAAAAAATGCGTGAAATATTTTGGTCAATTTAGATTTAGATTGCGCTTCTGCACTTTGTCTAAATGAGAAACTCTGTTCATTAAAAACAAAATAGATTATCAAAAACCTAATCCAAATAAGGCATTTATAGAGGATTTATAGAGATAAAGAATCAGGAATAAGAATTAGAAAGCACAAAAATAGAACAACCTTAGCAGATGCTATAACTTTACAATAAATTAAATGTATAGTTTTCATAAGAGGCAAAAATAAGTAGTGAAAAAAAATTCAAAAAGGAAGTAGAAGATTCAGACCCCAAGCTGAAACAGACTGTAACAGATAAGGAATCACATGATTAAGATTGACAATATGATCAATTATGTGATTTTGTGTGATCAATTACATGATCTTGGTAAAAGATTGAGAGAAGCTTGAGAGAAGATTGAGAGAAGCAAATATTTTGAGCTTTAGTCCCAGCAAAATCACTTACGTTAAAATCATTCAATATAATGATCATAAAAACATTAAAAGAATAACATTAGATTATATTAGCCAATTATAATAGCAGATAATAATAGCAAATTCGATTAGGAGCAATATTGAAAAGTTGTCTTTATTTTGCTTCTTAAAGGGATCCCAAACTCCCGACACATGTTGTGTTCATATTAAAGATAATGTTAAAAAAAAGGTTTGAACCAAGTTCTTTTGATTAAAAATAAATAATGAATGCATACCAAGAAAAACTAATGTTGTTGTTTTAGCCGAAGCTTGCCTTCTCCATTTTTTTCAATAACTCGGAGTCTTTAAATTATAAGTCGCAATCTACAGACTTTGGCGATTCCTTTGAAGCACGTTTAATTCATAAAAGTTTTAGTATTTGACGTCACAGTAGACTTTTAACAAATGAAACTCTGGAAATATTTTTATTTACTTTTATTCAAACTTTTTTTGATTATTTGTTAAGTTTTTTTTTTTCTATTTTTAACATTTAAAAAGATATTAGAAACCTCAAATATTTTATGCTGGTTCATTGTTATAAATTGTTACTGCGCCATGTATTTAATGTTTATAAATTATGAATATTTATTATCTCAATCAAGACTCTGATAAAAAATTGTTTTACATTAATTACCCTTATAAAATTAGTAAAAGCATTTTTATTTGGTTAGATAATATTTCGTCTTAATTTGCTTTGCATAAAGTTCGGGAAGTCAAGCGAAAAAAATTAGTTTGAATAATCACTTAGAAATATATTCAAAACAAATTATTTTAATGACAAGGGTTTAAAAGCTTTTTATAACAAATGTAGGTAAAAAATAAATAATTAAATAAAAAGTTCAACATTAAACATCATTTTTTTTATTATATTGCAACTATAAATATTGAAATATTAACTTGAACTAAATTTACTTATTATTTAGAACGACTAAACAATAAAAATAAAAAACCCCTAAAATTATGTGATATTGTGTTGTAGTGTTGCGAAGGTAAAATTTACCGAAAAATTTACCGGAAAATTTACCGGAAAATTTTCTGGTAAATTTACCGGAAAATTTTGAAAATTTACCGCCTGGTAAATTTTAAAAATTTTTTTCACTTATTTTTTTTCTTTTTTTTTTTTTTTTGATTTTTTAAAGGAAAATTTACCGTTCTCTAGTTAAAATTTCTCGGTAAATTTACCGGTAAATTTTACCGGTAAATTTTGAATCAAATTTTACTGGAAAATTTACATCACTATTGTGTTGTTTATTTGATAATTGCCGTTGGTAATGTTGTTTATGTTGATTATTTTCATTAATATCAAAATAGTCCCAGATTAATCTGTTAGTTGCTTTGTTCATTGTTGCTTTATTTCTAATTTAATTTTATCTCTAAGAATAAATTTATGTTAAGAAAGAAAAGTTTTTATTTCATCGCTCGCTCTTTATATAAAAGAGTAGAACAAAAGAGAAAGAAAAGTTTCGGGTAATTAAACTTTGAATGAATAAGAGTTGTATAGAATATATATATTTTTTGCGTCCCTCGTTCTTTTTTTAGATGAGAGGAATAAAAGTTTAATAGTAACTTTTCTTTGAATAACTGAAAATTGGAAGAGAAAATTGCTTGAAAATTTGTATTTTAAAATTTTTTTAATTTGCCAAAATTACAAAAATTTTAATACCAAATATGATACAAATTGGGAAATACCAAATATATTATGTTTTTTAAGGCGCTTTATGACATTTTGACAATTTAAATTACCTTTTATCTTGAATTATTGCCATTAGTGTGTTATTGCGTTATATAATAATAGTTTGTCCGTATTTTTGTTAAATATTAGTTGTATAAAACGGGGGAAAATATACAAACTTCATGTTTTTTATTTGATGGTTATAAAATATTGAACAGTAAACTTTTAATCAAAATTTATAACGCCAACTTGTGTTACTATTAATTGTACTTTTAATGCAAAACCAGGATCTCACATATCTTTTCACAAATTTTCATATCTGATACTACTGTCAACTGTATTGATTAGTGTATTCTTGTACTTTTTTTTCATAACCTTAACAGGTTCTAATTGGTATGGAGTTGCCGACATTTCAAAAGTTTCATTATCAAAAATCAAATGTAAAATAAAATGATATTTCCTTTTTATCCGTATCCAATTCAGCAAATTTAGTAATTTAAAATAAATCAGCGTAATCAAAAAAATTTTATAATAAAAAAAGTGAACAATTCATCAAATAGCTCTAATTAATACTGTCAGTTTATGAAATTAATTGTTAATACTTTTTTTCGACGGGAAAACAAAAAATATCATAGCGTAAAAATAACCTGAGAAGTTAGAAAAAAGTTCCCATTGTTTAAATAGAAATAAGTAAGATTCAGAATATATAATACTGCGCTCTCTTGCACAAAAACGAGAAACCGTAAACATAACGTTCTATATAATGTAAAACACTCGTATGAAAATCATAAAATTCGTAAGTAAAGCTTTAATACTTGTTTTAATTTAAAAACAAAAGAAATATAAGTAATATATATAAATCTAAAAATTATTAAGATATTGGTAAAAAAAAAATTCCTCTTATGAAATAAAAAGCTTTTATTATTTTTGATTTTTACGAAAATTTGTTGTAAAAGTTGTTTTGCTTATGTTAAAATTTTTTTTTCTTAATTAAAATAGAAAAACGCAGCTTTGTTTAATTACACTTTTCTTTTGTTAAAAATCAACCGTGATATAAAATGCTAAAACTTTTATGAATTAAACGCACTTCAAAGGAATCGCCAAAGTCTGTAGATTGCGTCCTATAATTTAAAGACTCTGAGTTATTGAAAAAAATGGAGAAGGCGAGCTTCGGCTAAAACAACAACATTAGTTTTTCTTGGTATGCATTCATTATTTATTTTTAATCAAAAAACTTGGTTTAAACCTTTTTTTTTAACATTATCTTTAATATGAACACAACATGTGTTGGGAGTTTGGGATCCCTTTAAGAAGAAGAATAAAAAAAAATAGTTAGAGAATTAGAACCTGATTCCTCAACAAATAGGTAAATTGATATATAAGCATACACTTGGGTCCAGCATATGACTATATGATTCTACAAAAATCAGGGGATAACAGCCATTAACACCAAAATCAGCAGATAAAAGATTGAAACTAAACTTAGTTGCTCAAAGAGCAATCAAGTCTATTAATATATTATGTTAATTAATGTTAATTAATATATTAGTAATTTATTATACAAAAGGTAATTATGCAAGAGGTAATAAATTATGCAAGAGATTCAATAGACCAAAAATTACATTAAAGACCACAAACTTTGTAAAAGATTGAAATTTGGTGACAATGGTATTTTTTATTTAATATTATCAGGTACTAGAGTTACGTTTTAAATTATCAGAGAACTTGACTTAATTGTAGATAATAAATAACACTAAAAGCAATAAGCAGTTAAATAAGTTCTGATAATTATAAAGGTTCTTTATGTAGCCTAACAATTCACAAAAAACTAACAGAGACACCTTTCATGCGCAAAATGGCACTTTGATAATTTCTTATTGCAGACAAAATTAACCTCTCTAAAAGCTATCAGCTAGTCATAGAAATATTAAACTTAATTATAAAACTTAACTTTAAGAAACTTTTAGAAGATTAGATAAAGAAAACTACTAATAAGAAGAAACAAGATATCCCTGTAAGTAGATCTTACCTCACATGTAAATGAAAACCTACTTCGATGTACTAAAATAATTATACTAAAATAAAAATATATATACTAAATATATAAACTAAAATAATAATATATATATACTAAAATAATTGCCTAATCCATTGTTGTAAAAAAAACTGTTTTGTCTAAAAGTTAAAATTAAAAATTTCATTTTGAATTCATTTTACAATAAGTTCAAGTTCAAAAACAGTTTAAGTTAATAAAAAAAAAAGTTTGCAAAAAAAACCTTATTTTCTTATTTAAAATCTTTACTAAAGTTATCAAAAAATAAAAAATAAAGCAGGAATACCTTAATAATATTTTCTAAACCAATAGAATCTTGATAATATTCTTCAAATTGAGCAATAGGTGCTGCCAACAAACTGATGTAAACAAGAGGTTTTTTAATAAATTTATTAGTAAAAGAAAACCATTCTTCTATGTTAAAAAACTCTCCTTTAGAAGTGCATGTGTCACTGTAGTAAATTACATAAATCTCATCAAAATAATCTCCATATAAAGTCAGAGTTTCTCCAAGATTTTTTAAAGGTTTTAAGTCAGAACATCTAGATGTTGAAGAGATTACATACGTTCGATTTTTATCTTGAAACATTAAGTCATGCATAGTCTTAACAAATTGTGAATAGCCAGTATAAGGGCCCTGTGTAATATCCAAATTCACTCCATTTAAAACAGCACTAAAATAAATCAGTGTAACAACAATAAAAATCAACAAAAATAAAATAAAAAGAAATAATGAAAATGTAAACTATAGACTGGTTACAATTAAATCATCAATTTTATCATCCTCATCAATTTAAAAATCAAATCAATTTAACACCCTTATCAGAAGCAAATCTGGGGTCATATCAAAAAAATCTTTGCACATCACAACAAAATTATACTTAAGTTACTATACAAAATATTTGGGTGACCACATATTGATACTGCTGCTCAAGTTTGGTCTTAAAATTTAAGAGGAGATATTAATATTCTAGAAAAAGTACAAAGACAAGCAACTAAAGTATTTTCTTTAAAAAAATTTAAAAATTGTCTTGCCAAACATAATAACTCTGGAGAAGACTCTGAGGGAACATCATACAAATGTTCAAAATATTTAAAGGAATAGATAAATATGAGCTCATCAATCTACCTTTATTCAAGTCTATATACGAGAGGTCATGGGTTTAACTATGACAATATTAATTATAGTGGAGTTAGACATAACTTTTTAACAAATAGAGTTGCACTATTATTCAATTCTCCACCAGAATAAGCGTTCAACACAAAATTTTTTTGAACAAAATCAATAACATTTACGATAGACTACATAAATAAAAAATTATAAGAAGGTCAGAAGGTCAATAAAATTATTATTATCTGATGATGAGATATCAGATATTGCCCAAATTATTGGCAAAACAATATTTTGTTGACCATTACTTAAGTGAATTTTATATGAAACTTCTGAAGTCAGAAGGTCAAACTATATGTAATTAAACAGTAGCAATAAACTGGACCAGATTAAATTAATATTATCTAATGATGAGATGTTAGCAGACTCATATTCAACCAATAAAATTTAAAGTTACAAATTAAAATTATTATTATCTGATGATGAGATGTCAGATATTATCTGATGACAAAATATTAAATGTTATCTGATGATGAGACGTTAGATGTTATCTGATGATAAGATGTCAGATGTTATCTGATTATGAGATGGTAGATGTTATCTGATGTTAAGATGGTAGATGCTATCTGATGATTAGACGTTAGATGTTATCTAATGATTAGATATTAGCAGACTCATATTTAATCAATAAAATTCAAAGTTATGCACAATAATTGTTATAAGAACCATCTTTAATTATTTACACTAAATAAATTTTTTTAATGGAGACATTTAAAGCAAATAAATTATTAGTAATGTTTTGAGAGGATTAGATTATCTTATTATATGAAAGTATAGATTTAACCAAAATACCAGATTTATAACAACCAATTATCTTAAATATGGTTGCAAATTGGAATGGTTTTATTATATTTGTGTTAAAACCACACAAAACATGAATAGTCTCAGGATTGCTTAGAATGAAACAATGTTTGATAAGATTCTTGTGTATTTTAACTTGATTTTTAAAAATTGCTTTTTTCATAACCTATTTTTAAAAACAAATTTTAGCATTTAAGGGATGTGAAATGAGTGAAAAAGGGATAGCATTTAAGGGATTTAAAATGAGTGAAAAATTGGGTAAGAGTTTATCATATATTGTATATGCTTTTAAGAGAGACCCCATTTATATATACATATATATTTTTTTTAGAGAAACTTCAAAAATAGGGATTAGCATATTTTAAGTAAAGTAATTTTAACGTTTAAACTCCAAGTTTTTTTTATTCTATTTGTTCCACTTTTTAAATAGAATTTATTTTTAATAAAATTTCAAAAAATTTCAATAGCAATGACATCAATCAAATCAAATCAAAATCAAAATTCTTTTTTATTTTTTTATTTAGAACATATAATTGACCTTAAACTTGAACATAATGTTTGAGATTTTTCTTCATCATTTCAGATGTGTAACAAGATTATTTATGGTGTGACTTACTGTAGAATCAAGTGATGCTCTGCAATAAGAGTTTAAATAAAAATGTCAATCTACAAAAATTAAAAAGCAAATATATATAGTTATCACTTGAAATATTTTTTTTCATACTGTTTAAGAGTGTTCCCTGTTTTTACATTCCATATCTTTACTGTATAAATAATGTATAAATAAATGTATTATATAATGTAAAAGTAAATTTACTGTAAGTAAGATGCTTTGGTAAAATACAATAGCTTTACAATAGCAAGAAAATTTACAATAGCAAATTTACAATAGCAAGAAAATTAAATGTCTTTTCGGTTTGTTAAATAATGGGTAACTTAAGCTAATTAAAAAAAAAAAATTTAATAATGTGATTCTTCCTTAACACATATTTATTATATATATATATATATATATATATATATATATATATATATGTATATATATATATATATATATATATACATATATATATATATATATATATATATATATATATATATATATATATATATATATATATATATATATATATATATATATATATATATATATATATGTATATATATATATATTATATATATATATATACTTTAATTAACTTTTAAGTTTAGCAATTAAAATAGGAGGGTTTCTTCATTCAAGTTGATTTGTGTAGGAGACTTTATATTCTTCATTCAATATACTTCAAAATTTAATAAAGTTGATTTGTGTAGGAGACTTTATATTCTTCATTCAATATACCTTAAAATTTAATAAAGTTGATGTGTAGGAGACTTTATATTCTTCGTTTAATATACCTCAAAATTTTATAATTTTTGATGTTTAGGAGGCTTTATATTCTTCATTCAATATAATTCAAAATTTAATAAAGTTGATTTGTGTAGGAGGCTTTATATTCTTCATTCAATATACCTTCAAATTTAATAAAGTTGATGTGTAGGAGACTTTATATTCTTCGTTCAATATACCTCAAAATTTTATAATTTTTGATGTTTAGGAGGCTTTATATTCTTCATTCAATATACTTCAAAATTTAATAAAGTTGATTTGTGTAGGAGACTTTATATTCTTCATTCAATATACCTTAAAATTTAATAAAGTTGATGTGTAGGAGACTTTATATTCTTTATTCTATATACCTCAAAATGTATTAAAGTTGAGTTGTAAGAGGCTTTATATTCTTTAACTAAAAAGTAATTTGCAGTAGTGATTTGCAAGGTTCAATAATTTAAATGATAGTTTCGTAAAAGATGGATAGAACTTTTTATTAATATATTATTATTTTTTTTATTATAAATATTTTTTTTTTTTATGTGTAACTTATTATATGTTTTATTATATATGTATTATTTTATTATATATAGTTATAATATTTTACATATAAATAAATATAAAATACTAAAAAATTGTAAAATTTTTTTCAAATTAACTTGAAAACATTTTATTAAGAACTCTAAAGATTTTTGAGCCTCAAAATAAGTCAGACACCTGCTACTGGCAACAAGTACAGACATACACCTGCTACTGACAACAAGTACAGACATACACCTGCTATTGGCAACAAGTACAGACATACACCTGCTACTGGCAACAAGTACAGACATACACCTGCTACTGGCAACAAGTAATCCAGTATAACCTGACATACGTCTTGCTGTCTTGCAGGTTTTGCTTTTCAAGACAAATGCTACAAAAAATTAAATTATAATCAAATACTCTTTATTTGTCTGAAATTTCTTTTCCTACTTTAAATATAAATTATTTATCTTTAACCCTTTATGGTTAACATTATTTTTATTTTGAGTAAAAATTATTTCCGTTGGTACAAATTATTAATTTAACTTGCTTAATCATATTTTACAATTTGGTTTTTGCTGACATTAGCAGTTTTTGATTAAATGATGGTAGCCATATGGATACTTTGAACAACTAAGAAAAAGAATTTTAATCAATTTAATTGATGAAATTAAATAAAGTTATTAAAAATATATAAAAGTATATGTGGAATACTCATTGAAAACTCATGTAAAAGTAAATATATAAAACATGTATAAATATAAGTATATATATAAAACATATATGTATTTATATTTATTTATATATATATATATACATATATGTAGGGCCGCACCGAAGGAAGGGGGTGTCAGCCCCCTCCCCCCCCCCCCCTAAGCTGTCATTTAAGCATTTAAGTGGGCACATTTTGCAAGTTTTGAATTATAGATGGCATATTGCAAATATTAGGGACCTTTTTTTGTCTCTAGTTGGCAAAAATACATACAACACCCCCCTTCCTCTCTATGGAAGACCTCTTCAAGAGGGCCCTGCATATATGTGTATATATATATATATATATATATATATATATTTGTATATCTATAAATATAAATATATATATATTTATATATATATATATATATATATATATATATATATATATATATATATATATATATATATATATATATATATATATATATATATATTCAAAAATTATTCCAGTTCTGGTCAGAGTAGCCATGGCTACCAACAAGATTATGAAGGCAGAAGAGCAACTTTATGAATTAAATTTCAAAAACTACTTTTTACACAAACTTTATAACCTTTGAAAATACAAAATTGAATATAACCCAACCAGCAGTATTATTAAAACTATATTAACTAACAATTAGTAAAATTAAAATTAGTAACAATTACTAAAACAAGTCAAAAAACCCTTAGTAATCTATCAAGTCTGTTTTAAAAAAATTGGCTTGAAACCCTAATTTGAAGAGTTTTTATTATTGTATTAAGCTGATACTTTGAGAAACAAATAATGGTGTCACACATAATAAATAACTCTGAAAATTGATAGTAGCCATAAGGCTACAGTAAACAATAAAGTGTTGAAAACTATATCTATATTATTTATATATATATATATCACTTTTCACTTAACACAACATTACACAATACTAAAAAACTAACAAAAAAATAAACATAAAAAACTCTTTCCTAAATTATCAAAATAATACCTTCCAAAAGGACGTGGACCATTTCCACCCAGAAACATTTCCCAAATTCTTTTTGCAAAAACATCCCCTTGAGTTGCATTAGCAATTGAATAGACCCCATATGATCCACCAAGTGCAATTTGAACTGATATGTTATTTTGCTGACAAATTTTTATTGCAACTTCAACTTGCTCACAATATAATAAAGAATTAAATCCAGATATGATAGGGAAAGAGCAATGATTAGCAAGATTTAAAGAAGGATAGTTATCTATTAATGAAGTATAAGAAAAAAAATTTGTTTGTCACACTTACTAACATAATGTCTGTTTATTTTGTTATAAATGTAAAATTAAATAAAAAGATTTAATAAATAAAAATGAAGCAAATAATTTAATATAATAATAATTAAAAAAAAAAAGTTTTTCTCTTTTAAGTTGACCCTGAGGTACACCACTGAGAATATTTAGCCTATCTGATAATGAATTTCCAAAAATAATTTGCCGTTTTTGATAGGAGAAAAGTCCATTTATTTACTGGCAGATTTGTCAAAACTATAAACATGAACATTGTGAAGTAGTGAATGAATGATTTTATCGAACATTTTGACAAACTCAAGAAAAATACAACAATGTTAAAACACAACTTCTATAAGATCAAAGAATTTCAATAAATTTAAAAAACTTATCAACTTTCTGTCAATTTTTCAAGTCTTGAACCTTTTAAGTCACTGAGGTAAATGTTATTCACCTCCCCAAGACCAATAAAACCACAACAGTAGAGGAAACCTTGACAAACAAGCCCAATACCGTGGAGAAACAAGTTAATATATATACATATATATCAACTTATACATGTTTATGTATGTATGTATGTATGTATGTATGTATGTATGTATGTATGTATGTATGTATGTATGTATGTATGTATGTATGTATGTATGTATGTATGTATGTATGTATGATATATGAGAGATGTATTGCATAAGATTGCATAATCTTACTATTCGTCTCCAACGTGAAAATATAACCGCAGGCAAATTCCTTTTTGATTGGAATTCAATAAAGTGTGAACTTGACGAAAAAGACAGTGACTTAGCCAAAGATTTCCAAAAAGGAATGAATAATAGAGAAAGTACACTACGCAAAAATTTGTTTTTTCTTGCAGCAGTTTATGTTGATATATGACATGGCTGTATGCTAACAGCGACAAATTTCAACCAAATTTATTTAAATTGTGTGAACAGGAGGTTCAAGAAAATTCTTCAGAAGAACAAATGCAGGTTCAAATAGATGTAATTAAAAAGGAGTTTCAACTAGCTCTAAATTCCAGAAATCCGTTCAATGTTTAAAGACAAACCATCCAACTTAGACAAGTTTCTAAATTTTAATCCATTAAAATCAATTAAGCAGTTCACTTAAGTTGTACAGAATGCCTGCCGTATCGCTTTGTTGCTACCCATATCCCAAGTCAGTATCATAACATCTGTTTTCAGTCTCAAAGCACATGACACCAAACCATCGTAGTCGATTTACATCTGAGTTAATTGATGATATGCTTTTTTTATAAACAATCAAATTTTTTATTTGAACATTTTTTGATGATGTAGATATTGTAATATTTTGTCCTTGTAACTTTATGATTGAGTGTGTAATTAATGTAAATAAACATTTAAATCTTTTTATAATTTTATGACCATGTGGTTTCAAATAATCTGGAAATCATTTTTCCGGAATTTTCAATTCCGGATTTCGATTTCCAGATTATTTGAAACTACACGATATATATATATATATATATATATATATATATATATATATATATATATATATATATATATATATATATATATATATATATATATATATATATATATATATATATATATATATATATATATATATATGTAAGCTTACACAAAACAATTTAAAAATTTATTTTTTAAATGCTTCTTTTTTTAATTTTAATGACTTAAGATAGACATCAATATAAGTGAATTTTTTTTACTCAAGATTTATTTTCATTTTATTTTATTATGCACTTGTGTTTTTTAATTAACAGCTATCATCACTTGTTTAATAAAACAAAATTCAATTACAATTACAAGTACAGCTAGTCATATAGTTAAGTCATCTTTTTACTGTGACTGTTATTTCATGCTCAAAAAACTTTTAATAATATATAAAAAGTTTTTGTGGATTTAGTATTCACTCCCACCTCTTCATGTTTTCCTGACACATATGATATACCATTTTTCATGTCTTCTATCTTTTCTATCTCTTTCTTGTTCTTTGACTCTTATCTTTTTTATTTGTCTCTCAACATAATTAGTGGTTCCTTGTTAGAATAGGGTTACCATTCTCCTCTTTTTTCTGTAGGAGAACGCGGAGCTAAACTAATCAAAATTGAAGTTTTCACTGTGCTTTCCTACAGAAAAAACAGGAGAATGGCAACCCTATTGTTAGAAGTAAATTTGTTTTTAAATAAGTAACTATAAATAGTGAGAAATTTTCTAATTAAAAAAATTACAGAATTTTTGTAATTTACAGAATTACAGAACTTTTGAAACTTACATAATTAAAATCTTATATGAAATTTAAGCTAAGAGACTTTTAGCTCTTTCACTTTAAATGAGATTTGTTATCAATTTAAAGTTGTTATAGGGTGACCATTGTACCGGTTTTTATGCAGCACCAAACTAATTAAAATTAGTTTAGTACTGCGGTCTCCTACATAAAAACCAGGACAATGGTTACCCTAGCTGTCATGTCTCTAAATATTATTTTTGAGAAGAAAAAACCAGACTAAAATTAAAAGGTTAAAAACAGAGTAAAATTTTACCTATTTCATTGCTAGAAAAAAAATCATTCACGTATCCAATAACTATTGTGTCAAATGCAGATTGAGAACTACAATATTCTATAAGTTCTTTTTCGATTCCTCCACCATTTTGTCCCCAATAAATTTTCAAATTCTTTGAATATATTTCTAATAATATAAAATTAAAATTTTACTTAAGTCTACAATAAAAAATACAAAAGCTGTTAAAAACCTAATATATATATATATATATATATATATATATATATATATATATATATATATATATATATATATGTTAGATTTAAAAAAAAAAAAATTAAAAATGGTACTTAGAGTTTCATGCCATTTTCGGCACTTCATCAGCCATATATTTAAATCATGAAAAAACTGTTTAAAAATACAATCAAAAAACCATTACAAAATTCAAAAAACAATGGAATGAGTTCTGATGTCAAATTATAATAATAACAATAATAATAATAATAATAATATAGAAAAACAACTTTATGTACTATATCTTTATTGCACAACAAATATGAGAATGTATTTGTTGTGCGAATTTATAACATATTTTACACTTGGCATACAACTGTAGCTAACATTGACTGTGTTCCTTTTAAAGATTTTATGCAGTTTATTATTATTAGAAAACGTTTATAAATTATCTTCAAAAAATTTTCCCACATTGGTGCTAACATTTTTGCTGAAAGGAGGGTTAACCAAATAATGTAGCAAGCTCTGTTCCATTTTTGAGTTGATATTGCTTTAGGATTATATGTTAGACTGCATTTATAACCAGACTTTCATAAAGCCTCATTATATAGAATAGTATTTTGAAATACTTCTTTGTTTGAAGAATGTGCAGACAATCTAAGTTCCACTAAGTGTGGCATTTGGTTAAGTATACTGAGTGAGTGATTTTAATCAGCATTGATGTAATTTAATATGTTATCAGGTTTGAAATAAGGTTAAAAAGTGAAGTAACTAAGATTTAGAGTTACACCGACGTAGTTTTTTATGTTGCACTGTATAGAAATCTATAATCCACTGCATTTAAAAATATCAGCAATATGCTTTTAGTTAATTTTTTAATAGAATCTTATATTTACTAATCTATTTTATGATTCTTTCAATTTATATCGATCACATTATTTCCAAATAAGGGTACAGCTCTAAAACTCAGTTTTATGGTTCTGAGGCCGGCTGGTAGTCAGGTTTCCCGAACTCTGTGGTAGCTCTCAGAGAGGCTGACTCCATCAACAGCTGAAAAATATCAAAGTACTAACAGTGCCATGTTGCGCATGGATGGTGTCCTTGTTTGTACTTTTGGTGTGTATTGCCAAAGCCACATTGGAGCCCTTTGTTACGGCTTAGGGTTTATTAATGGCAATGAGGCAATTGCTTGGGCTCTAAAACAGTGTACTGAGTACTATCTATGTTTCGAGTCAAGTTCTTTAACAAATTTAAAAATGAATAAAGTAACAAAAACTATAAAACACAAAAAACCACAGTCATCACCAAGTTCGCTAAACATATCATTAACCGATATTCATAGACTTCAAAGTAACTTTTCTTCTGTTGAGTCTTATCTCTTCCAAAGTTCATCAGACCTACTTGCTCTTTGTAAGACTAATTTGAGTTCAGCTGTCTCATCTTGTGATCTTAGTGTTGATGGTTATCTTCCTTTAATTCGTAAAGACTCCAATACTCACATGCTTGGACTAGGCATTTACATTTGTAAGAATTCATCCATTTGTCGGGAAACTAGGTTTAAATCCACAGACTACTCTTTTATGTGCTTTCCTTTAGCACCACTTCACTCTATCACCTTTCTCTTTGTTCTATTTTATTATAATGACCAAGCCCTTATTCTTTATCCATCAGCCAATATTGTTGTTGTCGGTGACTTTAATGTTCATCACACTGAATGGCTTGACTCAAGTGTCAGTGACTCCGCAGGCATCAAGGCCCACAACTTTTGCCTTTCTTAATCCCTAACTCAAACAGTCAACTTTCCAACTCGCTTTCCAGACAACCCGATCCATTTACCTTCTCTACTCGACTTATGTCTTGTTTCAGATCCAAGTCAGTTTCTCCACATTCACCCCTAGGTGCTTCCGACCATGGTTCGGTCTCTCTAAAACTTTTATCTCATTCTTCTTTACCATCAGAATCCCCCTATCATTGTACATCTTACAACTACCTTAAAGCTGAATCGGACTCTCTTTGTGATTTTCTTTGTGATGGCCCCCTGGGTAGAAATCTTTCGTATTTCATCAAAAAAATTAGGCTCTCATGACTTCTGGAGAATCTTTAATAGTATCAATAATAAGGGCAAGTCTGTAATTCCACCTCTTTTGTATGGTTCAGACTTTGTCACCTCACCTAAAGACAAAGCTGAATTGTTTGCCAAGAACTTTTCATCAATATCATCTCTTAATGCCACTTGTTGCATTCTACCTGATATAGCCTTCAAACAGGTTGATCCATTGCTCGACATCCATATCACCCCAGCTTCTGTATCTAAAGTGATTTCTTGCTTAGACTCTTCTACAGCTTGCGGCCCAGACAACATACCTGTTATAGTCTTGCAGAAGTGTTCTCCAGAGCTGTCGTCTATCCTTTCAAAACTATTTTACAAGTGCTTAATAGTGTCTTGTTTTCCAGCCTGCTGGAAAGCAGCAGCTGTTATCCCTATTTTTAAAAATTCTAGAGAGCGATCCGATTCGTCTAACTACCATAAGAACCTTGCTTATGATAGGAAGAAGTCCCATTAGTCTTCTTCCTATCATAAGCAAGGTTCTTGAATCTTTAATTAACAAACACTTAATCTCGAATCTCGAATCTCATAACCTACTTTCTGATCATCAATATGGATTTTGATCTTCTCGTTCTACGGCTGATTTGCTAACAGTAATATCCGATAGGTTTAAAGCGCATTAGATAAAGGTGGAAATGTGAAGGCCATCGCTCTTGACATTTCTAAAGCGTTTGATAAAGTTTGACATGCTGGTCTTCTCCATAAGCTTCCTTCTTACGGTGTATCTGGAAACACCTTTAAGATTATTGAATCCTTCCTTTCCAATTATAGTATAAAAGTTGTCCTTGATGGACAGCACTCTTCTTCTTATTCTGTAACCTCAGGGGTTCCTCAAGGTTTAATCATTGGCCCTATACTCTTTTTAATTTACATTAACGATCTTCCAGTTATTCTCACATCTAAGGTGGCATTGTTTGCTGATGATACTACCATTTATTCTTGTCACGATAAGAACCCAACTCCCTCTAATTGCTTGCAAGGGGCATCTGAGCTTGAAAACGATCTCACTTCTGCTACATCATGGGGCTCACAGTGGCTGGTGAACTTTAATTCAGATAAAACTCAATTTTTTCCAGCCAATCGTTATTGCAATAATTTAGACCTTCCTATATTTATAAACGTTAATGTACTTGATGAGTCTCATACCCTTCATCTTCTAGGATTAACTCTTACTTCTGATCTTTTTTGAAAACCTTATATCAGATCCGTTGCAAAATTAACATCTGCTAAAGTCGCTTCTCTTTATCGAGCTCGTCACTTTCTTACTCTGGATTCTATTCTCTATCTCTATAAATCTCAAATCCGACCTTGTATGGAATACTGTTGCCATATCTGGGGTGGATCTTCTAATAATGCCCATTCTTTTTTAGACATAGTGCAAAAACGCATTGTAAACATAGTTGGACCTGCTCTTGCAGCCAACCTTCAACCTCTGTCACATCGTCGTAATGTTGCTTCTCTTTCTCTTTTCTACAAATACTATAATGGACACTGCTCTAAAGAGCTAGCATCTCTTGTGCCATCTACAAAAATTAATTCTCGTGTTACTCGTCATTCATTTAAGTCTCATCCTTTTTCTGTTACTGTTCTTAAGTGCTCCAAAAACTCTTATTTGTCTAGTTTTTTTCCTCGAACATCAGTTCTTTGGAATTCGCTTTCTTTATCTTGCTTTCCTGATTCATATAATTTGCAATCTTTTAAGTTATCTGTAAACCGTTATCTTGCTCTACAATCTTCATCTTTTTTCCAGTAACTTTCAACACTAATTAGCGGTTGCTTCCAGCCTTGTTGGAAGCGAAGATGTTAAAAAAAAAAAAAAAATGCATGAACATGTATGTTGTCTCTGATATGTTTTGGGGCTTTTTTATAAACAGTAGTTTGCCAATCTTTGAAAATTTACAATGTCCTTGTCCCTATTCAGGCCTGTCCTTTGTGATAAACATAACAGTGGCCCGAATTATTCCCCAGATTGTGAGTTTAAAAGGTAGATTGTTAAGTCAAAAAAAAAAGGTATCAATCTCATTTTACCGTTGCACAGTGACATAAAACAACAAAAAAATGGCAATAAACCCCTCACCACTTTTTTATAAATTAAGTGCTCTTTGTTAGATAATATTAAGAGACAATGATTTTTTATTTCAAAAGTAAAAATAATTTTTTCATAAAGCTTTTATTTTGTATTTTATAGGTAAAAGAAGTGAAAAAATTTGATATCATTTTTAAAGAAATCTGAAAAATGTGAGGTTTTTATTCAACTAAATTAGAGAACTTGAAATTTAAATAAAAGTGTATATTTATTTTTAAAATAATATTTTGACTCTATTTATTTCAAATATACTAAAAAGAAAAAAAAATATCTGATTTTTTAGTTTAAACTTAAAGACTTCTCTGAAAAAAGTAGAAAATTATTGTATTTTTTTTGTTTATATATCAGCTAAAAAAATGTTTCACCGAGTTCCACAAATATATATATATATATATATATATATATATATATATATATATATATATATATATATATATATATATATATATATATACATATATATATATATATATATATATATATATATATATATATATATATATATATATATATATATATATATATTTTCCAGTTAATTAAAATTTCTACTTTAAGAATTTAAAAGGATTACTGCGGTCTCCTGCGGTATTGGAAGCTATTAAAGAAAAACAAATGTTGATAATTTTATAAAAACCTCGTTTTACGCCATTTTGCTAAGAACTTTATTATATCAAAACAAATGAAATTGCTTGAAGAACTTGTTCTAATATAGTTTTTAAATCATAAATATTAAATATAGTTTTAAAAAACGTGCTTTTGTCATTATATACTATTTAAAAGTTTGTTAAAATATTTATTGACAATTTTAAAGAACGATTTATTATTCGATAAGTACAAGATGTTTGAAAAAGCTTAATTGAACAACTTTGGTATTTCCCGTTTCTAGAAATACCAAATTGTTACATCCTGTAATAACACATACTACTTAGTTAAATTTATATTAAATGTAATATAAAGTTAACTAAGTAATATAAGTTATTACAGGATGTAACAATGTGAAAACATTTTCACATTGTTACATCTTGTAATAACAATTTTGTTAAAAGTCATAACAAGATAAAATTAGAAACAGTGTAAAGTAAAAAAATATGTAATGTAATTTAAATGTGTCTAATATATTAGCTTTATTATATTGATGGTTCCTAAAAACAATAACAATGAAAAAATTAGATCTTATCCCAAATATACGTGAATTAGGAGTTGATAAATTAAATTTATAGAAGGATTTACTTTATGAAATAAAAAATACTGAAAAAATTCGCAAAGAAAACTTAAATAAAGTTAAGCTTGCTTTAGTTATATTTATTTCAAAGGTAAAGAAAAAACTAAAACAATGTGGGCGAAACTATGATACATTTATACAAAAAGAAAATCGTTGGCTTCAAAGAAATCTTATGAACAATAAAAATAGCCATTTTGGTTCTGGAAGGCTCCATAAACAATGGAGTTTTCTTGGAGAGAAAAGCTAAGAAAAAAAACAAAAGAACTAGCCACTGAGCATCATGAAGCTCTATTTTTAGCTTCTGCAAAAAGTGCAAATGCTGCTGGAGAAAAAAAAAAGCCTCTGTTTTAAAAAACAATATATCTAATGTTTTAGAGATAGAAAAAGTTGATAAAATTTTGGATAAAACCTTTTCCATTAATATGAGTGTAGAGGATGCTCTTGCATTAAAAATAAATACTGATCTCAGCGATAAACAATATCAAATGATCAGAAACTCAGCTCTTGTGCAGAACATACATATTTATTCTACCTTGTACGATATTTTCGTGGAAAAATTGAAATGCTATCCTGAGAGTATACATTTTTCTGAAATTTCTACAAAGTGTACTCTTCAAAGCATGTTAGATCACACTGTGAGTAGAATAACAGAAATGATTGATATGCCTAATTTTGGTCAAAGTGATGAAATATTTGGAGTTTTATATGGAAAGATTGGTTTTGATGGAGCATCAAGCCAAAGTATTTATAAACAGAAATACGATACAAGCAACGCAAGTATAGAACTTAAGCGTGAAGAAAATCTTTTCAGTACAGCTTTTGTGCCTTTATTGCTCAAAGAAGAAGATGGCGAAATTTGGAAAAATGAAAATCCTTCAAGCTGTCACTTTTGTAGACCTCTTCATCTACAATATAAAAAAGAGAGTCCAATTTTATCCAGAGAAGAAGAATCAGATCTAAAAAATCAAATAAATACCTTAAAGACGTTTTGCAAAGTCTTTAATATTGCAGGAAGAATTTGGACATTTAATATCAGCTATAGGATTGATTATACAATGTTTGATAATAAAGTAGTTAGCGCACTTACAGAGACAAAATCCACTCAATCCTGCAATGTGTGCAATGCTAAACCCAAGGAAATGAACAATATTTATTTATTAAAAGCAAAACTGAGAATAACTCGGCCTTGGGGCTCGGAATTTCAGCTTTGCATTGCTGGATAAATTGCTTGGAGTTCATTCTTGCCTAGCAACGGCCCTTAGAGATATATTTCTTGCAATAACTTGAGAAATATATGTCCAATTTATGTAGTTTTTGTGTGTGCTTATGACTAAATTGTTCCTTAAGAACTCTTGTTGGTTTTCGATCTAATATCCATAAATAAAACCTCATATTCGTTTCTGTAAGGTATAGATAATTACTCTTTAACAAAATGTTTCCTTATAAATGCGTTCAAAAAAATAGATATACTAAAGCAAGAGTAAAAAAAAGGCCGTGGATAGCCTACCGAAAGTCGGTTGCGGAAAAATAAAAATTATCCTACCGAAAGTTTTTTTTATTGGTTGACAATATCACATGTCAAAATAAACAATATTTGTTATACCGTAAAATAAAGATAATTTAAGATATTATTTTTAAAAAACAAAAACGTAAAAAATGTAAAAAAATTAAATAGGATTTTCCATTAAATAAATAGAAATGACTGCCACCCCATACCAAAACCCTCAGTCTATGCATGTACACTACACAGCGCCTATCCCTATATTAGTAAATGTATGTGTTCTTCACTGCGCCTATCCCTAAGCTAGTAAATGTATGTACACTTTACTGCGCCTATCCCTAAATTAGTAAATGCATGTACATTCCTCGGTGCCTATCCCTAAATCAGTCAGTGTATAAACACTCCATTGCGTCTATTAATGCATTGTGCTATTCCCAGCGTATATCCCTAAATAATTTATTCAATTAATAAGCGTAATAAAACCTAAAAAGTATGGAAAAAAACAATCGAAATGTTAAAAACAATCCTGAGGAAGGATTCGAACTCGGAGCGCCTGCGTAGAGATCCAAGCTTGTATCCGATACACTACTGAGCATTTCTAACAAAGTAGTTAAAAGTATATTTATATAGCAATTTTATTGTGACACGTGATATTTCTTAACTAATAAAAAAAAACTTTCGGTAGGATAATTTTTATTTTTCCGCTACCGACTTTCGGTAGGCTATCCACTGCGTATTTTTTATGCGTATTATTAATGTTATGGTAACCACGTTTTGTCATACCAAAAGACATATTCATTAAATAACAAAAAATAATAATTGCTATGTATCCTTGCCCAATATCTCGAAAAGCTAACACAGTACATCGGTTAATTTCTCTCATTTTTTACCTTTGATTACTTCATTTTTATTTTCTATTCATTTCGAAGTTAAAAAATTTAATGTTCATGTAAAATCTTGACAAGAATGTGAGAGAGAATCTCTTTTTGATTAATATCGTGTAAAATTTTGATTGACGAATAACATTCTAGAGCATCTTTCAATTGCCTTCAACAAACTTGAAAATAAATATAAGTTTATAATTGTATTACACTCTTTTTCTATATTATAAAGTTTTCTACATCTAGATAAGTTTTTTTTCCAGATACCGAATAACTTACATTGTTTGGTGAATGTGCAGACAAAACAGTTTGTTGTAAAGCATGTGAATTATTTAGAGAATATTTTTTTTAATTTATGAAGTTTTCTTTTTTTTTACTCTTGCTTTAGTATATCTATTTTTTTGAACGCATTTATAAGGAAACATTTTGTTAAAGAGTAATTATCTATACCTTACAGAAACGAATATGAGGTTTTAATTTATGGATATTAGATCGAAAACCAACAAGAGTTCTTAAGGAACAATTTAGTCATAAGCACACACAAAAACTACATAAATTGGACATATATTTCTCAAGTTATTGCAAGAAATATATCTCTAAGGGCCGTTGCTAGGGCACTTTATTTTCCAGTACCAAATCTATTAAGGATAATTTAGGCGTTTGAATTATGTTTTTTTTTTAATTTTTTTATTATTTTAAGAGAAGATATAATAAATTAATGAATATTCTAAAAACTGAAATTTTGAAACAAAAAAATTTTTTAGCCTGTCTTTTGGGGTACTACTACCTTAACCGTTTTCTGAAGAGTACTTAGTCATAAGCACACACAAAAACTACATAAATTGGACATATATTTCTCAAGTTATTGCAAGAAATATATCTCTAAGGGCCGTTGCTAGGCAAGAATGAACTCCAAGCAATTTATCCAGCAATGCAAAGCTGAAATTCCAAGCCCCAAGGCCGAGTTATTCTCAGTTTTGCTTTTAATAAATAAATATTGTTCATTTCCTTGGGTTTAGCATTGCACACATTGCAGGATTGAGTGGATTTTGTCTCTGTAAGTGCGCTAACTACTTTATTATCAAACATTGTATAATCAATCCTATAGCTGATATTAAATGTCCAAATTCTTCCTGCAATATTAAAGACTTTGCAAAACGTCTTTAAGGTATTTATTTGATTTTTTAGATCTGATTCTTCTTCTCTGGATAAAATTGGACTCTCTTTTTTATATTGTAGATGAAGAGGTCTACAAAAGTGACAGCTTGAAGGATTTTCATTTTTCCAAATTTCGCCATCTTCTTCTTTGAGCAATAAAGGCACAAAAGCTGTACTGAAAAGATTTTCTTCACGCTTAAGTTCTATACTTGCGTTGCTTGTACCGTATTTCTGTTTATAAATACTTTGGCTTGATGCTCCATCAAAACCAATCTTTCCATATAAAACTCCAAATATTTCATCACTTTGACCAAAATTAGGCATATCAATCATTTCTGTTATTCTACTCACAGTGTGATCTAACATGTATTGATGCTGTTGCTGAAACAAAAAGTTGTTACCCCTGTAAGATATGTTTAAGAAGATAGGTATTCCAGCTTACGAGAACTGGAAGATCACACATTAATCATAAGGTAGCTCAGGAAGTATGGAATTTTTAGGCGCTCTACAAATATTCAACCGATCTGTCAAATAGCTTAAAATCAAGTACATGAAATACATTGCTGATGGAGATACCTATTCTTATATGCAAGTTTGTGATGCAAATCCATACAAAGAAGAAATTATTTAGAAATAGTTCTTGGCAGTGATGCGTTGCTTAAAAAAGGTTTACATGGTTAAACTCAAAATGTTAATGAATTGCTAGATGAGATGGTTTGGACTCGCGCACTCAAAAGAGTTCATGTGGAAAGAACAGTTAATGAGATTGCTTTGGCCTATACAATAATTAGCTTCATTAATGGAGTTCAGGGTTTACTACCAGCATTTGAATAATGTAATGTTTTGCCTGGATATTTTACAACTAAAAGTTCTCTAAATGTAGATTATGTACGCATTAAACAGAATGAGATAAAAAGTACAGGTGCCACAAAAAACAGGAGGAAAAAGTTAGGGGCCATTAAAAAAGGCCTTATTGACTAACATAATGAAGCAGAAGATGTTGCATACAACAGTGGTGGTTTTTAGTTAGTTTGATTGTGTAAAAAAACTTAATGTGCTTTTAGTATTTTTTTAAATTGCATTTTTCTTTCGTTTAACTTTTTGTGTATCTTTTAATTTTTTAACAAAGATAACTTTTTAACTGCTCATTAAATTTTTTTCAAATTTTCAGCAATTATTCTTGAACGTATTTGTAATGTGCTGAACCAAAGAAAATTAACTTTTTTTTATATTAAAATTTGAAAAGTATTAAAATTTGAACTTTAGCAAGCTGTACTTATACTTTTTTCTTTTTATTGATAAAATATAATGATTTTAAAGTTATTAATTATTGTTGATTATATAATTTTTAATTCAGCACATTTTTTGAACGTATATAAAACTACTTACAAAATTTGGTTTGTAGAACATGTATGGTTCTCAAGATATTCTTGTTAAAAAAAGGTCAATTTTTTTGCCTAAATTTTGCTAATTTATGCGCATAATTATTGAGCAGGAGGATGAAAAAAATAATTTTGTTATTTTTTGAAATAATTTAATCTAACATTTCAGAAAAACATAAATGTTCCCATATAACATCAAGTTTTAAATTTTTTTTCTCTTAAAGGGTATGACGACCTTAAGCCTATACGTTAATATGTCCAAAACTGGGTCTGGAAACACGAATGACAGCAACACTGCCAGAAGAGCATTTAAAAATAATGAAGTTTTTTCTGAAATTACTAAAGTTGATTGTGATACAATTAAAAGATTGCATAATATTCTCATAACCATATCTTGTGGATATCCTATTAAAATCAATGAACTAGATTTATACTGCACTGAAACAGCTAAACGTATAGTGAGTTTATACAACTGGTATGTTATGCCTCCTACTGTACATAAAATGCTACTGCATAGTTCTTCTATATCAAATAAATTACCTTTGCCAATCGGGGTATATTCGGAAGATGCACTAGCGAGTTTAAATAAACTGATAAGAAATTATAGACTTAAGCACTCGGCAAAAATATCAAGGTTAAACACAATGATGAATCAGATGCACTACCTTCTAGTAAGATCAGGTTCAAAAATATCTAGCATATCTTTTAGAAAACATAAGAGCTATTGAGGAAAACCGTTACCAGATGAAGTTTTTTAATTAATTGTAATGTAAATAATAAACTTAATGTAAAAAAGTACAGTATTTTTTCTCTATGTATCAACATCCTTTAAAAACCATTTTTAGAAAAATATCAAGTAGAGTAATATATCAAAATTATGTGTTTGTCTTGAAGATTCTAAAAACTTAAAAAAAAAAATTTTGTACGCGTATAGTCACCTTTAATACGCGTAAGCGCGCATTTTACGCGTCGAAGCTGCGCGTTAAAAAAAAAAAATTAACAAATTTGAAATCTTTGACTTAAAAATTATTATTTTAATATATAACGTTATTTATTTACGATTTATGTCAATTTTTATTTAATTTTTGCCGTTTTTTGATTGTTCTGAGTCACTGTGCGTCGCACTATGGTTTCTGAAACCCGATTTTTTGGCAGAAACCCATTTTTTTTTTTAGTAATAAAAAACTTTTTTTTTTGCGATATCTTAATGTAAACTCTTGAAAGTGATAATAAACGTGGTCTATTTTTTAATTAATAGCTCAGTTTGTTTGTGATATGCACTCAAGTTGAAAATATATTTTAACTCAGCTTAGTTTACAGTGAGTTAGCGTAAAGTGAGCTGTTTATTTAATAATACATATCTTTTGAAATAATTAATATTTTTTATTTCTGTAAAGCAGTGCCGGATCACTGCCAGAAGTCTAAATCCGCCACTGCTGTAAAGTGAACTATTTTTGTTCAGGTATATTTTTACATGATTAAATTTTGTTGATTTTCAGAAATATATTCCAGTTTTC